GGATTCTGACACCACTGTTCATATTGGAGCACTGATGTTTTGCGTCTCATGGCATTATGTGGGAATTTGGACTTTTTGCTCTCTTTTCTCCAATATTTCCTGCAAGCAAAATTAGAAACTCGAGGGCCTAGGCTCTGCAAACCCCTCCTGGGATTTGTGCTGACATACACCTAATCCTACTGGCCTGAATGGATCTGTACAGAATGATGGTGATAAATCGTGTAAGACATAGCAAATTGATGAGAATTGAAAGCTCCACACTACTTGAAAAAACAGTTCAGCTCACTAAAAAGCCAAATATGGATTAAGGAGCTTAACTCCAAGCAACCATTAAAAAATATTAGCCTGAATATTTCTAAGCCTTCTCTAATTCCTCCAGTGAATAGTATTCCATACAATAATTAATATTTTCTGTAGCAGATGCCTTGTGCTTTGTATTCCCATTTGAATAGCTCCAAGAAGTATAAACAGAAAACCTTTTTAGCATTTTCCAGGCAGATTAGAAAACATATTACAATTTATTCTAAAGGAAGAAAAAAACACCTTACAAGTTACTGAAGATTTAAAACCTGTTAGTCCATATAAACACCTATTTGAAACAATATTACTGTAAGAATGATGTCACTAACCTCTTTTCCACCTTACTAATGACCACTAATTAGTGTCAAACTTCTACAAAATTTGAAAGACAGCCAGAAAGATTACTGAAATCTTAAATAATTCTTCCTGGAAGCTTAATTGCTCGGTAGGATTGTGGATCAGAAACATCTTGATTATGTTTTCTCCAGCTTTTGGCTTGTTAAGAATGAAAATCTGTGGGCTCAAACAGAAGCTAGGAGCTATTCAGCCTGAGGCTTGGGTACCCATTAGTCTCCTTAAATCATGCATGTTTTGTTAGATGAAGCATCCAGAGAGGTAATTTGCTCTATTCTGCAACCCAGACAAGAAAGCTTTAGGTAGACAAGGTGCCATCAAAACACCCAATCACACAGAAAACCGCCCTATTGTCAGACATTGCAAACACACAATCCAAGATGCATTTGCTGTTTGATGACAGCAATTCTCAGCTCTATTTGAATAAGGAGAAAGCTAACTCTGAATATTTTCCTTCATTCCCTGAGTGGTGCAGTAAAAACAAGCAAAGCAAAATAGCATATATGTGCTTGTAGGAGGTATTAATTTTATTTCCATCACAACTGAAGCATTCAACGTATTAAGCAGTTCTCAATTCTCCTTAAAAATTAATTCTACACAGATTCAACCTGGAAAGTTTTTTTTTTTTTTTTCCACTTTCAAAATGATTAAAGGCACTCAGAATAGCTAACTCAGTAATACATACAAACAGGGGGAGGAAAGAAGACAAAAAGAAGAAGAGAATCATCTATCAGAGACCTGCCAACACTTTGGAAGCTGCTGTGTGTTGCTACCACCTATTACATTTCCATCTTGTACTCTTTATTTTTTCTCCCATCAATCTGCAGCTCTCCACTTACTGACTCTTATTTTATTCTTACATTAAAAACTCTTTCAGACCATGCTTTGGGTCTATTTGCACAGCATCTCGCACAATGGGACTCCGATCCACGAATAGTTTTCATAGGTATCATCTCAATATAAATAATAATATTGCTCCAAGTACATCAAAACATTGCAAGAAAAAGAAGAATAACTGTTCTAAGATGCTCAGTGTCAGAGAATAGTGCAGCAGCACAGCACTCTGCATTCTATAGTTGATAGATTTCCAGTCAGTATTTATAAAAATTTAACTTAAGAATTCAGACACATGGTGGGATTCTTGGGGTTGCTCTGTGCAGGAAAACCGGGAGTTGATCCTTGTGGATCCCTTCCAACTCAGGATATTCTGTGATTCCCTATTAAATAATTAGTTTCACTTATAGCCAGCATTAAGGAAGAATTACTGCCAGAGAAGGTGCATCATAAATTTGCATAATTCTCTCTGCAGACATCCATTTACCAGGGCTTGCTGGCAAACTCCAGATCAGATGCCTCATTTGTGTACCCATAGTTAGACTTTGATGCCCATTGTATCAAAAAAGGCAAATGGTAGCATTTCCAAAGGAACACACAAAGCTTTTAAAAATTCCATGTAGCTTCCAGCTCATTCTCAGTGAAAAGATCCTTAAAAAATTCCACTTGCTCAAGTTCAATATGTGCCAGTGAAAACCTGCTGTCCACTGCACTAAAAAACCCTCACTTTAAAGGCTAAAAAAGGAGCACCAACACTTTCTTGCTTGTATCCTGCCATAAGGAGGGATCTGTTCCAAAGGCTTGTATTTATTCAATGAACAAGCAATTCAATTTTTAATCTAAGGTAATGTGGTGGTATGGATTGGGTTCTAACAATTTGCCCCATGGAATTGTAACAGCAGTCTCAGGATGTTCAAGTAAGCAACTTATTCTCATCAGTGTTAAATATCTTCAGCCTACAACCACATATCAGAAATCAATAAAAAGTACAACAAAAGCATCAGGTAACAAGCAATTTGGGGTTTACCATAGTAAATATAGAGCAGAGTTCTTTCTGAATCAAAGTGAATGAATAAAATGGATATCTCATTTCTAATAGTGACTGTGTTGTACTCTGGGGTTCATAATTGCAGCAGCTGAAAAAAAAAGAATCTGAATTCTGACTGTCACAGGTTTAATAAATACAAAATTAATACATTCGAGTTTTCTTCTGCTGTGTTAATCATAGATGTCAGTAGAATATTTCTGGCCCCTCTTGTAAACAGGCACTATAATTTCTTTAGGAGTTTGTTATCTGAGTTTTAGGATGCCCTTGCATTGAAGTTGAAAGGTAGAGTTAACAGGTTTTATGTACGCAGGAGACCACAAATTTTGCCATCCTTCACCACAAGCTGTAAAAAATGACTTGACAAAATCATTTGTTAAATATGACAGCAGTATGAAGGCAAGACATTCATCCAAAAGCTCAAATGGATACATGACAAGGTAATATTAATGGCACAAGACAAGACATTTAAAACTACTGGCTCACCATTACCAGTCTATTTGATCCAATTAGGGCTATTCATCAAGGCAAATAACTACTGGAAAAGCAATCTTGTGTGTTCCTGTGCATGTTGCAACAAAGCCCAGTCTAAGTGATGGCTTGTGCACCCAGAGATTTCAGTTTCACCCAGGTAATGTCAGTTCAGAAGGGAATAGGAGAAGGCTGTGACTTAAATCTGAAAGCAGCAAAAGCCTGTCATGTTTTATTCCAAAACCAGCACCAGGGCTTTGCTCGTGCACCTGCATTAACAAATGCCTTTGCAATGCCTTAATTTATGCTGAGTTCTGATGTAAATATTATGACACACACTATTACTTGTAAGACAACGCTTCATTTTTTTTCCTCCCCACAGGATTTTTAATTTAGAGATGAATTCAAAGCAAGAATTGCACCACGTGAAACTTCATTTATTAGAGGAGGAAGCATGTTAAATTAAGGTCTTGCTTAATTCATTTTGTCAGAGACAAAACTTCATTAATGTACATAAAGCTAACAGATTAATAAATTTGCCACACCAACAAAAAGTATAGAAGGAAAACATCAAGACTTGCAAATATTTTTGAAAGCATGAATGGTGCACAGGCAGATTTTATACCTTTCCAGTTCAGTCAGTTTTGTCAGTTTATGGTGCACAGTCAAGTTGTTGGTTTTGATAGCATCATGCTCTACTGTTCTAAGCACTATTTAGGTCTGTTTTATCATTGTCAGTTCACAGCTATAATTGAGCTCAAAGAGGTTAAATGCCCACCAAAACGATGTTTTCCATGGCTATATAACAATTTTAGAACCAAAATGTCTCAGTGCTACTTACAGTCTAGTAGAGAATTAAATGTCTAATCCTGCCACTGGAAGGTAAAGCCACAGCAGGAGATTAATGACTCCAACAGATTGTTAAACTTTATAAAGCCTGGCAGTACAGAGCTGCCTGTAACAAAAGTTTACCAAGGAGCACCTTATTCACTATTTTCCATTTAACAGGAGTTGCAACCCAGCTCCAGTTTGCACCTGCAGAGAGCTCCCAAACAGGCATTAATTCAATTGAAAGGGATGAAAATAAAGCCTTCTCCACTGCAGTTAAGGTGTGTCACCTCCAATATGCTGTGAAATTGAGTTCTGGAGAATAAGGCAGTGACCATTAGAAACTGCTGCAGTTTGGTGCTAAAGAGAAAGTCTCAGTCAATTCTGCAGACTGTGTCACATAGGATGGGACCAAAGAATGACAAATTTGGGGGATGGGGACAGCAACACCACCAGTTCTGTCTTGGCAGATTAAACAGCAAAATGACTACTATTTAGAACACCTATCACACTT